AAATTGCTGTTTCCAATCAAGCTTTAAAAGTGACTTCTGTGAGAGCAGTGAGCTCATTTTTTTTGGCTTGCTTTTGAAATTTTGCTAATGTGAAGTCTGTAAAAAACAAAATACTTATGGTGTTATGTTGGGAAGATTAGTACCTTTATTTTTTCTTTTACATTTTTATCATATTTTCCTAAATATAAGTACTTTTTTTTTAACATGCTAAAACTTGTATTCCCAATTGCCTTTTATAATTCATTTAACAGCAATCAAGCAAAACATGCACCAAAGCACGCACACTTTAGATTAGTGTCGGATGATTGACACAGAAGTACTTGTTTAGAGCATTTCTCTCTAGTTTCACTTTAAAAACATTTGTTTGGGCTTGTCATTTTTAAAACACATTATTGTGAATCCCACTATAATTGAAAGGATCCCACACCTGCAGTTCTCCACAATAGACGCCAAGTGTTCTCCAGCCTCTGTAACCTAGACTGCAGCTCCTCACAGGAAGTTTGGCCAGAGGAGAAATGGTCGTGCCCAACTGAGCCTGGTTTCTGTCAAGGTTTTTTTTCCCCCTTCACTTTCATCAATTGGTGAAGTTTGTTCCTCTCCACTGGCTTGCTTGGATTGGGACTTGTGGAGCTGCGCATCGACGAATTTGCTCTTCAGTGTTTGGACTTCCAGCTGTGAAAATTAAATCACACTGAACAGAACTGAACTCTGAAAACTGGACGGACACAGTTTCAATTTACTAGAACTTCTATGTGAAGCTGCTTTGACAAAATCTACATTGTAAAAGCGCTATAGAAATAAACATGAATTGAATGGATTTGTTTTAGAATGACAGGAACTAAAATACATGATCATATATTTTGTACAGTACCTGTGTTGTTTTTAGGTCTATGACAGCATAGTTTGCATTACTTTTAATTAAGTTATAAAATGTGGCTTCTCTTTTAGTCTCAACAATGTAATTTTAATGTGTGACTTTTTTACCAAACATACGGTATGTATGATACGTATGGTGTGTGTTTCTTATGAACCCATACAAATGTTTGTTTAAAGACACAAAATGCAACACTGAGGCAGAATGAATGAGAATGTATCAAGAAGGGTTCTTATAAACAAATTTTTACTTTGACATTCAAAATGGACATCTAGCATGTTTTATTAAAGAAAATATCACAATGCAGGGCACCGAAACACCTAAAATGCACTATGAGTGAATTCCTTTGGTTTGGAAAGAATACAGGAGTAGGACAGAATTGATGTTTTGATCATGAATCCTATTAAATAAAGGATCCCTAACTTATATAAGGCTTTTTTTATGTAACTTAAGATTATGTGACCTTGCACTGTGATGGCAGAAAGACAATATGCTTAATTGACCATATATGGGTTGAATCAGGCCTAATTGTCTAATGGCTAAAAGGTACTTTCTCTCAGCTTACTAGTTTAATTATTGTAGATCATCAAACCTCATTACAGGCTGCTATTTTTAGAAAATGACACCTGCTGAAAAACCTGTATTAACACAACTCATCTTTGATTAATGTAGCAATTATGTAGACACCAGTGAGATCTAGAAAAAAAAAATGAATATGTTTCATATCACTATTCTGACGCACTCAATGAATTCAGTCTTGAATAAAAAGTTGTTTTCTTAAATAAACATTAATTATAAGTTGAGAGTTTAACTGATGTAAAGTCTGGTAAATTCCACAGAATCTGTAGTCATGTCAGCTTTAATAAGTGCTGCAGACTCTTACTATTGACTATTAACTTTTTTTCAGTTTAGCTCAAGAGACAGGTCTGACCACTGAAAACACAACCGCCATTATCTCAGCGCCTCTCAGGTTATTCGCGGACAGGCTGAATGGTCTGTATATATTGTACAATGGTTTGGTTGTTTTGTACAGATTGAGGTGACAGATAATACAAAATAGAAGACATCCTAAAACAGCAGAAACACAGCTGTGATGTTGTACTTACAGTGACGTCCACAATAACTGGCCATACACAAACATCTTCAGTGATAGCTACGTCAACAGAGCTGTTAGGCTAACATGGGTGTGAAATTTGTCTTCTCTTGTTTGTTAATGGTATTGTGTGTGTGTGTGTGTGTGTGTGTGTGTGTGTGTGTGTGTGTGTGTGTGTGTGTGTGTGTGTGTGTGTGTGTGTGTGTGTGTGTGTGTGTGTGTGTGTGTGTGTGTGTGTGTTGCGACAGCAAGTAAGTCGTTTCTCTAAGGATTAGGTAAAGGATAAAAACTTTACAACTTTTTCCCGTCAGTCTTTGTAGGAAACCAAATTGTACTCAGCTGACCTTTTTTAAACTAGTAATAATTTTAACATTTTTGAGTTTTAAGAACTAATTACATGTGCATAAATGTAATAATTCTGGCTGATTATTATTTTGAAAGTAATACTTATTTATACACGTTTTTTATACTAATTATTTGTCCATTATATATATATATATATATATATATATATATATATATATATATATATATATATATATATATATATAATAAAATAAAATTAAATATAAATTAGAATAATTATATAAATTGTAAAATAGTTGATGTATAAAATATTAGTATAAAACGTGTAGATGAAAATTGGGGGAAAAAATAAACGGGCTAATAATTAATAAATTTTATATATATATATATATATATATACATACAAATACATACATACAGAACAAATCACGGTTATACAATAACTTGCCTAATAATCCTAACCTGCCTAGTTAACCTAATTAACCAAGTTAATCCTTTAAATGTCACTTTAAGCTGTATAGAAGTGTCTTGAAAAATATCTAGTCAAATATTATTTAATGTCATCATGGCAAAGATAAAATAAATCAGTTATGAGAGATGAGTTGTTAAAACTATTATGTTTAGAAATGTGCTGAAAATCTTCTCTCCGTTAAACAGAATTTGGGGGAAAAAAATAAACGGGGATAATAACTCAAGGGGGCTAATAATTTGGACTTTATATATATATATATATATATATATATATATATATATATATATATATATATATATATATATATATTTATAATTTATTTCACTTGATTAAAACGTTAATAATTTTTTTAACCTACACTTTGATTTAAACATCCAAAGGAACTTACAAAAGAGAACCATACATCAAAGCAGAAATAGGACAACATAAATAATGACAAGTTCAGTAAAGTAAATGTATACAGATATTAATATTTGATAATTCCTTCTTTTCTGTATTCACAGCTGCAGTCATAGTGTCAAAATATTTCCTGAGAATTTCAATATTCAAACACATTTCTCCCGCAACTGAAACCAGAGGCTTTCCTTTGAATTCTGTGAAGGAAGCTGATTACAGTGCGTGACACTAGACAGTGAAAGACTAGTTTTTTAGTTTTTCTCTTTGTCTAAATCTCCTTTTCCTAGCTTTATTTGCTTTATGGGTACTCTACTTGCCAATTCAATACACAACTGAAATACCACGCATTCTAATGTTTTTGATCACCACTTATACATATAAAGTTTGTGTGTGCCTGTATATACTGTATAGAGAATATTTTATATATTACAGTATATTGTAGCCATTTTTTTTACAGTTTATTGTACTGTTATAGAATAACAGTATCATTAAAACTAAATTATCTATTTTAAATAAATTCAACTTCCCAGTCATAAAATTGTTTTCTTAAAGGCTGATTTCAACATAATATGAAAATGTTTTTGAGCAGCAAAATAGATTGATAGGATGGTTTAAAGAATCATATGACTGGAGTAAAGATGAAATCAAAAACAAAAATCCATCATTTTACATCACAAGAATAAATGAGATTTTACAGTACAGTATATGCAAGTAGTAGTTAAGACAAATGGTAAACAAATTTAAAAATTATATTGTTTTTGCTTCACAAATGAATACAGGCTCGGTCAAGAGACTTAAAAAAACAATAATGAGTAACATTTTAATTCTTTGTTAAACTATTTCACTAGAGATGTTAATTAGAGCAAGGACATTTACACAGAATTTCCTATATTTGTTTAATGATTATTTTGTAATGTAATTTTTATAACAATTTATTTTTTTAAACAAGTAATTTAAGAATACCCCCTTAATATTACAGTCATTAAAAGAATGACCATTTCAAATAATGGTTTACACACACAGCATTATTGGTTTGCAAAAAAATTAAAAATAAAACTAATCCTGTTGCACTACTACACTTGATTTTGGTTTTATCATAAAAGAAAACCAATAAAAAATTATAAACGAGAAACTGAAATATTTTAATGGCGTACTTCAAAAAATAGAAATGATTTAGTATTCAAAAATGTTTTTTTTTTTTAAAGAAATTAATTTTACACTTTATATTTTCAGATTTTTCATAGTTTATGTATTAACTTTTGTACTTTTACTATAAACCAACATGTCAACCTCTACCAAATGGTTGGTATTTTAGAAATTATTGGATATGTTAAAAAACGCATTGAGTTGTGTTAACTAGTGACATTAGGAGTTAATCCAATGATTCTTTTTGTTGGGAGAGCAGTTAAGCGGTTAAACTGCAATTTAAGCACAATACTAGTATCTTGCAACAACAGCAAAAAAAAAAAAAAAAAAAAAGTTTTTAAAAATTAGTTATTAAAACTATTAAGTTTAAATATGCTTGACTCTATTAAACAGCACTTGGGGAATTATTTTATATTAAACATTATAATATTTTACGGGGCATGCAATGTGTTAGCTCTCAGCTGTGTTTGCACATGACTCAAGAGATAAAGGAAATGATACACCGGATGAGGATATAGTTGCCGCTCATGTAGACCACAAGTGCAGCAAAGGAAGCATCACAGAGTTCAAATGAAAAAAAGAAAGAAAGAAAAAAAGAAAGAAAGAAAGAAAGAAAGAAAGAAAGAAAGAAAGAGAGAAAAATTAAATAAAAAATCAAGTACCTGCATCGACTGTTAATGTAATCGTGAAAAAAGAAAATACATACAACAGTGCCCTCTTCTGTACAAATTTGTTCATCACTTTTTTTAATGAGGCTCGTTTAGTACAGATTGTCAATCAGAAAAGCTTAGGTAAAGTCAGTCATCATATTTTAACAACATGTTCTTAACATATTCACAAGTTTATTTGATTATTAAGTGCAAAACAAAAAGCTTATAACTAAATAACAATACATAATTTAAATAGATCAATTCATTTGTACAGAAAACAAACAATTTCAACCTGCTAAGCATTAATGCTAACGGCTATTAAGAGTATTTACAAGACTATTTACAAGATACATTCATTAGATTCACTTCTGAATACAACTTAAAGTTAGTCAAATGGAGAACTACACAGAGACTAACTACTTAACAACGTAAAGGTTTTGAAATGTAGCTTTCGATTGAAATTATTTAAATTGTTAATAAACTGAAAACAATCTCACAACACAAAACATTTTAAGTAACGTCTGTTCCAAAATATTTAACAAATAAAAAAAGCCACAATCATTTCATGGCTTTTTTTTTACAGCGTGGTCTCTCACTAGCTTTAAATAAATAGGAAGCTGTTCATTTAGCAATTCTTAAAGCTTTTGACCACAACACCTCTGGTTAGTGGTGATGACCCCTGTATGCTGAGAATAAGCACCTTGAAAACCATAATCAACATTTCCAGAGTCCCACCAACATCCCACTGGTTCTTCAGTATGTGCGCAGGTGATTTAGAAATATCAGACGAGAGTTCGTGAATTCAGTCGTGGGGTTCGTTGTGGTTGGTGATTTTCTTTTTGCGTGCTGAGACCAGGTCATAGAAAGGGTCTTTTGTGATGCAGGCTCTACAAAAATGAGAGAGAGAGAGAGAGAGAGAGAGAGAGAGAGAGAGAGAGAGAGAGAGAGAGGAAACAGTTACACTCAGAGACACAGTTTTCTTTCACTTCCTCTCTTAAAGTTAATATACATGTATTTATGAGAGCATGTGTGAACATTTCTAAACATATCTGACTTCTTTTTTCCCATGACCAAGATACAACGCTGAACTCTTGAAAATGATTTGTTAGCTATAATCTAGACCAAGAGCTGTTGTTTGTTAAAATGATCAAATAGAGCAACCAACTTCAATACAACTTCACTGACAGCTGAAGTTTTGCTTTCAATGCTCATGTAACCGTACTCTCTCAATCATTTCTTCTATTAATGTTTTCATAATTAGTTTAAGAAATAGTTTATGCAAATCGTATTGCTGACATCCGAAGCTATCAATGCATGCATTAATAGGGCAGAGAACAGTTGTATTATCTTAATTGAAAAAGGTTTAAAGCAGGGGTCTCAAACTCAATTTACCTGGGGGCCGCAGGAGGCAAAGTCTGGGTGAGGCTGGGCCGCATAAGGGATTTCACAAAAAAAAATTCCTCATGTCATTATTAACAGTCTTAATTATTTCTTCTGAACATGAAGTGTCCTGAACATTAATAGAACATTGAGTGAAGATTATGAACAGTTCTTCTGAATATGGCATCTTTTGCCTACTCCTTGCTGCCAGAGACTTGACAGCGCTTCTTCTCACAAATCTGAACCACATTTGGCTTTAGAGCGGAAGCAGTTGAGACCCTCAGTATGGCTTGAAGATGATCATCAAGTCTAGACCTGTACTTTGACTTATTGAAGTTCAAGGTGGAGAATAACTTCTCACACAAATATGTGCTCCCAAAAAGGCCAAGTCCTAGGGAAAAAAGTGGGGGAACTCACTCAAAACTTCTATTCCCTCACCTAAAAAAAGGCGTATATATGTATAAATAAAACACCCCCACCCCACTCCAGTCACATCAGTCTGTACCAGTCTGTATCTACCTATAATATATATAAGAAAGGGCTAGAAATTAACTTTTTTACTTGGTAGCACCGGTGCTCCCAACTTCAAATATTTAGGAGCACCAGAAAAAATTTAGGAGCACCCACCAAAACTGAATGAGCACCGCTCCAAGTTGCTTTTTAAAGGATTTATTGTATTTTAAAACAACATCAATAGGACTGACAAAAAACCAGAAACAACTATCTAACTAATGCTGCGAAGACATTGATATTTGTGTGCAATAATTCCAAAATGAATGTCTAATAATTATAGAATATTAATGATGATGAAAATGACAATAATAGTAAAAATGAATTACATTTCTCATTATGATACTGCCTTGAATGTGCATGAATGTAGGTTATCTGCTATAAAAAGTCTGTTACTTTATGAAAAATAATTGTATAGTTTGCATCAAACAAAAATGAAGCATTGCAGTAAGAAATATTTATTTTGTACTGCTGTTTTTATATGCATGTCAATTTAATAAATAATATTTCTGCTACAAAACAAACAAAAGATTATAATAAATCATTCAATTCAATGATGAAAGCTGCAAAGCAGTCATCAGTATATAAAAATAATAATAATATACACCTCAAAAAAGAATAGACAAAAGAAAGAAAGTAAAGTCTCACTTCTATCACTCTTTAAAAGTTTTGGTTTCAGTTTGTGTCAATTTAAAGGTTCAGTCTTTTGTCTTTTCATGTTTGTGGAAAAGCTGGCGAGTCAGCCGACCCAATTTATAAGCAGGCAGCGCAAGATTCTTGCGAATACCACCGGCGTAATACCGCTGTTTGTTATGAGACGCAGTTTCAGTGTAAACTTAGTAAATGCGAGCTGCTTTGGCGATGATATGTACAGTAGTAGATTTGACTTTTAGCGGACATTTGCGCTGAACACGCAGTGAATGCGACGCATGGAGATTCGGGCGCCTTCTCCAAGAAGCGCGTACTCGATTGATCTCAGCTGGTGGATTATTATTCACCACGTGACGTGTCATGATCGCTCTCATCTGCACCTCAATTTTAGGTGGGGTTTGCAAACCTGTGTGCTTTAAGTTTTTACTCTTCAGCCGTTTGCATTTCCCGTGGTCATAAAAGCTCCTTCCCTGTCATCTGACAGCGGAATAGCTTGAGTGATTGACAGCTAATATGAACCAATATAGCGGCAGGGAAGAGCGATTCAGCACGTTTTTACAAAAAATCAAAACAGGTCGCACTACAACCATTATCTGCAGTCGCACTAATGCGCCCAAATATATTATGAGGTCGCATAGATTAATTTTCGGGCGCATATGCGACCAAAATGGTCGCAATTTCGAGCCCTGTAAGACGCAGGCTGTAGCTAGGTAGCTAAGGTGGCAGGCAGGGGCGGGAACAGCTTACCTTGGTTCTGGCCGGCGCGAGTTCCCGTCACAGCGTCTAACAAAGGGGCGGGGTACGTGGTGACGCCACCGGCATCCCCGCCCCTTTGTTTAAACGGCGGGCGGGGAATGCCAGTGACCGCTGTGTACAGATAGAATCAGCGGAGCGGGGATCGCTCTCTCTCCCCGCTCCGCTGATTCTGTCAGTGTACAGCGGTCGGCGCGGGCCACAAAATATTGCACTGAGGGCCGCAAATGGCCCGCGGGCCGCGAGTTTGAGACCCCTGGTTTAAAGTGTTAACTTGTTCACTCGTTCACTACTTAGTGAATGCTGCATAGTGTGTTTTATGAAAAAAAGAGATACCTTTCAGACAGTATTGTGCTTAGTGTTGTTACATATATGAGTGATGTGCCAAATTATGAGAAAAAATTAGCTAAGATTTTAAACCTCATCATAACAACCTCATATACTGTATGTAAACCTGCATTTGAATTTTTTTATCTGTGTAATGGAGGCCAGCTAGCGAAGGACTAGAGGCTATGGTATTTAGCCTCATTAGAGCAACCAACTCCAATACAAAGCATCACCGGTTTGATCCCCGCTCAGATCGGGTTAGGACCAGTGGGTTACATGTGGGGGCTCGTCCGGGATGAGAGTGAGGTTTAGGGGGGTGAGTGTAACGGAGGCCAGCTAGTGAAGTGCTATGCAAGTAAACCTCACTGCTCTGACCTCTAAAGGTGCTCTACTGACAGACACTAGAGGCCATGGTCTTTACGTTTAAATACTGGAAAAAACATCTTTTTTTACTTTTTTATTTTACCAGAAGAAACATTTAAGTGTTCTTGAAGATACAGTATATTAGGACTGCATGATACTGGAACAATCTGACATTGGGTTGTTTTGTTTTTGCTGTGATATACATTGCGATATGAATATCATTTTTATCAGACCATTTAAATAGCAATATATTTTAAATGGTTTCTCTAATTTAGATTGACTGGGATAATCAAGTATTTTTTATGCAGGGCATTTGCATAAAACATGATAAATTACAAGCATATATAAATACAACAGAGAAAAAATAAAACTTAAACAGTGCTTTATGGTTTACTGAGGAGTCTAACTGTATTCAATTATAGAAAATTGAACAGTCAATCTAATAACATTTAATAACATGGGCATTATTAAATAAATAATTTTGTGCAATAATAGTTAATAATATATATTTATCTTTTAATATTTATTAAATAATCTAAACGTGATAGGCAACACGCTGGCTCAGGGGTTAGTGCTTTCGCCTCACAGCAAGAAGGTCACTGGGTCAATTGCCAGCTGGGTCAGTTGGCATTTCGGTGTGAAGTTTGCATGTTCTCTCCGTGTTCATGTGGGTTTCCTCCGGGTGCTCCAGTTTCCCCCACAGTCCAAAGACATGCGGTACATGTGAATTGAATAAAACTAAATCGGCTGTAGTTTATTTGTGTGGATGGGTGTTTTCCAGTACTGGGTTGCAGCTGGAAGGGCATCCGCTGTGTAAAACATATGCTGGATAAGTTAGTGGTTCATTCCGCTGTGGTGACCACTGATAAATAAAGAGAATAAGCCGAAGCAAAATAAATGAATGATTAATCCTGCAATGTGACTATTGTGGATACATACATTGCGATATTGATGCTAAAACAATACATTGTTCAGCCCTACAGTACATGTTGAGAAACAACATGGCATAAGTAAAATTAAGTTACTTTATATTTAAAACTAGAATTTCAACAATATTTTATTAACTTAATATTTATTAAAAGAATATATGCCAATATATGGCATTTTTTAAGAAAATGAATGTAAGGGAAAACAAGTTTTTTTTTTACTTTTAGATTTTTTTTCTTGATATTTGTAAAAAAAAAAAAAAAAGAAAAAAGAAAAAGGAAAAAAAAATTATTTCTTCTTTAATTTCAAACTGATTTTAGATTTTAGCTTATTTCCACATATTTATCTTGGGGAAAAAAAATAATAAAAAAGCAAACATGTAATTCTGCTTCTCAAGTAAATGTATTTAAATTTACACTGCCTATAGAAAATCATCATATACCTCATTGAAATAATGACATTATTTGTCATACAGCTTGAAATTAAAACACATTCCCAATAACTTCTCCAGCCTTTTAAAGGAGGTTTTTGTAGCCTTCTTTTAACCTGTGCCTTTCTACAACTTTATCCCGAAGGTCTTTTGAAAGCAGGGTGTAATGTGAGTAAAGGTATAGATTTTCACAGGGTTTGATGATTTTCTCTAGGCACTGTAAGTACTGTATGTTTAAAGGTCTCGTGAAGTGCTTTGAGATGTGCATTTTTTATTCAATAAGGGTAATCTCAACTGAAAAAATAAGAGAGGGTAAGACATAGAGTAGCTCCTCCCCTTTTAAAAAAGCAGCCAATAGCGTTTTTTTTTTTATCACAGCTCTGCCGGTGAGAGTGGTGAAAATCAAATGAGAAGCATCTTAAAAGGGGCGGGGAATGTCAGAAACTAGAGAGCATTTGATTGGTCAAGATTTGATGAGAAACTCAAGTATGGCGGAAACGTTGATACATTTAGGCAGAAGTGACAAACTGCAAGCTTTCTCCAGGGTGTCAGTACTTTCTTAAAGTATTAAAAGTTGATAAATCAATGTAGAGAAATTAAGGCCCTTAAAAAGTATTAAAAAGTCTTAAATGCTATTTTGTAAGGTATTACATTTTAGATCTTTTTTTTTATTATGCAATCTATTGTTTTATGCTGATGTTTGCCTGAATTAAATTTGCTGTATAGTTTATGAAATCAATGAAATCCATTTGACATCATGCTGCTTTGTTTACAGCAGTAATCAAGGCAACACCATTATTTCTGCCGCTCTATAGGCGCCAACCTGCTCAATTAACTAGATTTAATAGATATTTATTCATTATATGAACAATGCTTTAGTTTTGGATTCGTTTCCTAATATTTAGTTAATATTTATTAAATATGCTGTAAGTTAAAATCTCACCAGTGTTTCTGGTTGAAAAGTGGTTATAAGGTCTTAAAATGTATGGAAAGATTCTTAAAAAATGTCTTAAAAAGTATTGAATATCACTCTCCGATTCCTGTATATACTCTGTTACATTTTTATATTGGTTTATATATATTCTAAATGCAAATGTTGTCATTGTTTTGTACCACACTAGCTTATAGATATCCTTAATGACTAACATACTGAAACTAATATCGAAAAAACTGGATGTCACTGTAAACACCATAAAAAAGCCAAACGTTGAATACTTTCTGTTGTTGATTTATAACTTTGTTTTGGGCCATTTAAAAGGCAAGCGTTGTGTTTCAGTGTAGGTTTTAAATCAACAATGTACCAAAAAAGGCTAATCCTCCCTTTAGTGCATTTGAAAAACCTGCATTGTGCATGGCACACCAGTAGTTGGCGATATCACTTGTTTAAACACTAGTAGAAAACGTTGGTTGCACACACCAAAGCCTACTGTATTGAAGGCAAACTTGAGTTTAAAAAAGCATCACAGTGTGCTCCAGCATCGACAGTCGTACACAGTTTTGATTTGATCTATTTTTAAACATCAGTCATCAAAAACGAGGAAATCTTGTTGGGTTGTATCATTTAGAATTGCGTATGCTTTACTGAACATATCGAGTGTGTTTTGTAAGGGTTGAACAGCATGAATCTGTTGTATGCTTTAGTCGACTGTGGTACCTGATGGCTTGTATCCATTCTGCACGTTCCTCTTCTGAAGCTGTGCTGAGTTTGTAGGAGTGATGTTTGCCCATCACGACTCTCCCATCTGTCTCTGTCTTGCAGGCCTTTATCGTCTCTCCTTTTTGATGAAGACTATACACCTCCAGACAGAACTGAACCCACACACAGCAAAGAGGAAGCGCATATGCTGTCATTTTCAAAAGGTCACATTCCATAGTTACATGAGCGCGTTGCATCGCAAACATTCAAAGTGACTCAAACAGAAAACAGAAATCTGAGTTTGTGGGCAAAGCGAACTAGTTATCACTCAGCTATGATAAGCAAAATAACTCATCGGTGCCATCGCACAGGTGTGAAGGGGTTATAAGACACACACTAGCTACTGGATGATGTAGAATGGAAACAAAACATGAGATAAGTACCTGTTTGTGTGGATCGTCCACCTCTTTTACACACAAGTTCTCCAGGGGAATGATTCCTTTTGGCTCTTTATCCTGATTCAATTGAAAAAAAAAAGGGTTTTAAAGTAAAGACACTGCAGGTGAATAGAATGGTTCAAGTGGGAAAAAAAATCAATTGCAAATCGTTTTGGTATACAAATTAGAAATTGTTTTAAGTAAATATGCAAATGAATCACATTTTAAATTTAAATATACACAAAAAAATGATATGGTCCATTAGTCTTGACAGCATGTTTTTAGGTCATTGTCACTTTTCAAACTGAGTTAATGATGTTATAACTTAATTTTATAAATTACACAAAATGTTTTAAGTCAGTTTAACAATATAAGCTCTATTGACTCATAAGATTAGTTTAATTCAGCTTAAAAATGTAAGGCAACCAGGACTTTTTTTACAGTGTAGACATTGGATGAAGTCCGGTTAAAATTGATTGTTTGAGTAGTTTGTTTTATTAGAGTCAAATATGTTTTTGTAAGTAGATTACAATCAATTACTTTATTAGAAAATACTCAGTCAAGATACAGTCAGTAAATAAATTAAATTGTAACAATTTTTGTTAATAAAATGTTGCATATAATCAGACAAAATTTGTATATCCATATTCATATCAATAAAAAATGTAGATATGAATAGGGAGCTTAATAAAATATGCACTGTACTTGAAATCCACATACACAAATTGATTGAATGTGTGAACAACCAAAAAAAACACTTAAAATGTATTTTAAATTTTAAATGATTTCTTTGCATTTAAACTGAACTAAACCCTTCATAAAGAGCCAAAAATGTGATTTTTTTTGTCTGCAGTGTCAAAATGTTTGTTGTTGTTGTTGTCATTAAAATGGACATTTTTGTAAAAAAAAAAAAATAGAAAATGCTGTAGAGTACTAACAGTGGTGTATTGGAAATAGTAGAGGCAGCCGTCAGTCAGAATAAACCACCTCCTCTTCCAAGTCTTTATTCTGCCACCTGTGGATAAACCAGAATTTTAGTGACATTGAGAAATACAAAGATGGCATAAAAGCTACAGTTCCGGTCATTTGATCTGATTGGTTAAGCTACACTGTTATTACACCAATAAATTAAAGAGATGGAGCTGATGGGAGTAAAGTGTTCAATTGCAACACATACAATAATTCAGAATGTCTGTTAAGAATTAGTGACGTTTTATAAACTGATTTCGAGAGGATCACATGTTATGATCGATTGTGGCTCTCATCAACAATCATCGATAAACCAATCAGATGAATCCAAGCCTACAATAAATAGCCCATTTTGTCTTACTTCCTTTATCTTGGTTTTTGAAGAATCCCACTGTCCACCCCATCTCCTTTTTCTTTACCAGGGGGAGCTCTTGAGACATTCCTGATCTCAAACCCCTTTTATGTTAAATGACCCTGGGCTCAATTATCTCCGAGCTCAGGGTTCTCTCCCGGGGCAGTATGCCAAACTTGCCACTAGTATCGAGCAATAGCTAAGTGTGAACTCTTCAAATGATGATTAGCAGTGCAGATTGACAAACCTTCTTTTAGAAGCCAGCCCTCTCGATCAGGATTAAAGAAGGTGTGAGTGAGATCATTGCCGTCATCCTCTGGGATCTTAAAGGGTTCATTCTTAATGCTCTCATAAAGTTTCTACAGAATGTTTCAAAATAGAGAAAATGTCAACATTTGATAATTAGACAAAATCATGACATCAACACAATTATATAACACAGAATTCTCTTTAAAATGAAGTAACAAATAAAATATATATAAAAAAAATATATATATATATCAACCCATGCTTGTTTTCAAGTTTGGGGATAGTATGATTTAGTATTTTTTTTTAAATGTTCACCAATTTTATTTTATCAAAAAAAAAAAAAAATTTATATTATATATATATATATATGTATATATATATATATATATATATATATACATACATATGGTATTGTATTTTATTTTATTTAATGTTGAAATTGTTGTAATGTAAGTACTATAAAATAGTAATATTAAGAAATAGTACATTTTCAGTAACAGTTTAGAAAACTGAGCTGAATAATTAACAGCCATGACTCCAGTATTCAGTGTTGTGATTTATTTAAAAAAATATATATTTATTTTTATTTTATTTACTGATTTTGACCAATAGAAAGTTTACAACGAAATATTTGAAACAGAAGTCTTCTGTAACATTATAAACATCCTTGCTGGCTTTTTTTAGGTGTCCAAAAAATAACTACATTTATTTCAAAGAAAAAATCTTACTGACCACAAACACCGGTCTGGTCAGAAAACTGTGAGATTGTGACCTCTTTCTAACCTCAAGTAGTTCACTGGGAAGATCTCCTCCATTGTTGATTCCTCTGTTCATGCTAATGAAACGTTCTAGTGTGGTTTTGTCTTTCACGTTGGGGTTGTGCAAGCTTGTGTTGAGCATGATAATAGCGAAGGAGAGGATGTAACAGGTGTCTGCAACACACACAAGTACACACTATAGCAAGCATTTTTAAATGTCTGAGTGAAAGTATTGTACATGCGAATCTCAGTTAGTTTTACTTAAAGACTCAAACAAAGCAAAATTTTAATGTATTAAAAATTCAATATGACACATTATTAACCCAACAATACACTATCAAGACACTGACTTTTAAGTAAATGTCTCTTGAATTTGATGTTTACATTCTCTCAAACACAAAACATATCAATTACACTTTAGTTTAAGGGTTAGAAGTTCTTTTGCCTTAAAGAAAACTGTAAAATGTCAACTAACGCTCAATACTGGGTTAGCATATCAAAATCAGACTATTAGATTAGGCTTAAAATAAGTTGGCATGCACTTGCAAAATGACATGTTAGGCAGCTACACTAAATATCTGTTGGGGAGCATCAAAATAAAGTGTTAGCAGATATGCAGCAGAAAGTCCACTAATAACTAATTGGTACTGCAATGTTACTTATAGTGTGTTTGTCCATTTATATATATATATATATATATATATATATATAAAAAGGGACTTTCAAAATATAGAGTGGTGTACCTGTAGACTGAAAAACCCCTGTGTTACAGGTGCAGTAGCGCTGAGCAAAAGCCTCCATCATGCGGTCAATCTTCTGAGCTTCACCAGGTAGACGGAAACTCCACAGAAACTGCCTGTGTCCACATAAAACTCAGTTCAACTGACAAAACTAGTCTTTGAAAATGTTAATGGTATGTTGAAGCAGAAGATCACCTTAAAGCCTGCACCAGATTAAGGTTTGAGAACTCGTGAAGGTGAACAAAAGCCTGTAGAATCTGCAGGTGGATCTCTTCCCTGTTGATGTAAGAAGACATCATTGTACCTTTCAGTTACTTTACTTTGATGGTCCCTTATGACATATTTTTTCCCTACTATATTAGTATCTATATCTCATCTGCCTATTTCAACATGGTTAAAGTTAGTTTAGCCTGTCACATTTTTGTAATTTTAAAATAATTTTATGTTACTGAATACATGATGATTATCTATTAATATAATATAGTAAAGCACATGTTACTAAAGGTAGACGATTTTGTCTTTTGTAATGGTTCATCAACTACTAACACGTCCATGATGGAGAGCAAATGCAATTAATTCCATGATCTGGTTTAACTCTATTAAAACATGCCAAACTTCAACAGAATATGCTTTTGGGGTTATAAGGCTGATTCTATAAAGTCTAAATATAAGTATAAATGAAAACCCTGTTAAAAGATGTTTACCAATATGTGAAAATGATCAATCTCTAGCCTTCTAGTGGCTTTATTTAAAATGACTTGTTATTTCTAATTTGATAAGGGTTTGTCTTTTCCAGTAGACAGCAGCAAGCAAGGAAGAAAGTTTTTTTTTTTTTTGATGTATTCTTCCCAATCTGTATTTTATTTGTATTGTTGTGACAAAATGCCGTCTCTCCACCTGTTACTTCTTCACTCTGTGTAATGAGTTCTGACAGCTCAAATTTACATGGATATGGTCATGTCCATGTAATGCACAAGAAGTTTAGCTAAACGTTTACTGCAGTTTACTTTGACAGATCTAAGGAGAGTAGAATAAATTGATACAGTATGTATTTGAAAAGTTACTTAAGTCTTGTTTTCACTGACAACTCTAAAACAAGATATGTTGGTGTTCGCCGGAAAGTATCAATCGACATCATTCTTGGCCAAAGAACAGGCCATAAAGGCAGTTCACATATCATTCATTCATTTTCTTTTGGCTCAGTCCCTTTATTCATCAGGGGTCGCCACAGCAGAATGAGCCGCCAGTTTATCCAGCAAATGTTTTACTCGGTGTATGTGTGCAACTGCAGCTGCAAAAAAGTACTGGGGAACATCCATACACACAAACACTATAGCAAATTTTGTTTTTTCAATTCACCTACAGCACATGTCTAAAGACTGTGGGGGAAACCAGAGCACTCGGAAGAAACCCACGTCAACACACCAGTGACCTTCTTGCTGTGAGGCGACAGTGCTAACTAATGACCCACCGTGTCCCCATTCACATATCATAACTTTTCTATTTTTCTTTATTTCTGTAGCACTTGTGTCAAAGCAGCTTAACATATATGAAGAAAATAAAGTAAAATACCTTAATATTCGAAATTGTGGAACATTCCTGCATTTCAGGCAGACATGAGTGATTTTGTGCTCTCAGATTCGTTATTTCAAATGTTGATGTAGAAACAGAGAGAGGAACCGTGAGCCTCATACTTGGCACGTACAGCAGATTCTGTTTTGGTTCTTGGTACAGTATTTGGCTGTTTGTCACAAGACAAAACAGCTAGCTTTGTTTGAGCTTGGGTCAACCATGAATAATTGCTGTGTGCATAATTTTAATGTTGCGTTTTCGTATGTTTAAAAATGGCCTTTCCTGTGTTATTGTGACGAATCAGCATTCTGCAGTGAGTCTAGCTCCACCCTTTAGGGTAGTTGTTCCCAATTCCAGTCCCTAGGACCTTCCGCCCTACACATTTCGTATGTTTCTCTTATTTGACACACAGAGATCAGTTCATAAATCTCTCTTTTAGCAAGCTGATGATCTGAATCAGGTGTGTTATGTAGGGAAGACACATGAAATGTACAGAGGGGGGTCCTGAGAAATATAATTGGGAACCACTGCTTTAGGATATACCGTGCTTTTGTCTCAGAGGTTCCAAAAAAGTGGTACAGATTGCTAATTTATTACAGAGGAAAAAATGCAGGGTTCCATACACTCAAAAAGTGACTTCTGTTGCTTGTTCAAACTACTAATTTAAAACGAGTTGAAACATCACAATTCTTCAATTTTATTTAATTGTTTCATGTTCAATTCACTTCAAGTTAAATCATTCATTCATTTTCTTTATGGTTTAGTCCCTTTATTAATCAGGGGTCGCCACAGCGGAATGAACCACCAAGACCCAGGACACGCTGGAGGGACTATGTCTCTATGTCTATGTCTGGCCTAGGGATCCCTCTGGAGCGAGTGTTTAGGGAAAGGAAAGTCTGGAGTTCTCTCCTAAGACTGCTGCCCCCGCGACCCGGCCCCAGATAAGTGGATAAAAAATTATGATGATGATGATGATGAACTTAACAATTAAGTTGTCTAAAAAATCCTCAAGAATTGTGTTGTTTTAACTCATTTTAAATAAGTAGTTTGAACAAGCAGCAAAAAATAATTATTCCAATTATAACTTCTGAAAGCGGAAATGGTAATAATTGTGTAGTGTATTGTACCGAATCATATTACTCAATGGAAACAAGCCATTATAATCAGATAAATGTCTGTTGAAGATCACTAAAGTAAAGTTTTCTAGATATAAATCTGACAGCTGACTTGTATTTAAATTACTGCTAACTGACATTTCAAGAGTTCACACTTAGCTAATGATTGATTATAAAGCTTGTTTGGCATGCTGTCCCGGGAGAGAGCCCTGAGCTCATAAGATCCTTGAGCCCGGGGCTCCCTCCCGTTGGCAAGACGAGAGGGGAGTTTGAGCTCAGGTAGATCTCGAGAGCTCCCCTGCTTTAGTAGCTAATGAACAGGAAGTGATTGCTCTTAAGAGATACCTACTTACTGGGAGCATGTCTATGGTGCCGATTTGGATTAGTCGATTAACTTAAGTTGCATGTTTTTGGACAGTGGGAGGAAATCAGGAAACCCGGCTGAAACCCACATGAGCACGGGGAGAACATGTACAGAAACGTCAGCTGGCTTGGTGAGGACTAGAACCAGTGACGCTCTTGCTGTGAGGCAACAGTGCTAACCACTGGGCCACCATACCACCCATTTAGGAAAGGAGGAGTAGGGGTGGACAGGGGATTCTTCAAAACAAAGATGGCTGTTATACAGAACTTAAGGTCTTTATAGTGGCTTAGTAATTGTCTGATTGGTAAATCATGAATTGGATAATGCGGGACCAGCCGCAAGCAATTATAACCATGTGATCTTATCGAAATTAGTTTATAAATAAGCTTCACGTAGTTGCAAAGTTTTGCCTAGTCAACCGAATGTTTAATGTAACCATAACCTACCTTTCTCCTAAAAAGTTGCCAATAGCCGTTTTATTAAGGCCTTCCTCTTTGTAGAGGAACTCCGCCACAGATTCTGGTTTCCACGCCAAAAGGCCATTATCCACTAGATACTGAATGCCCTGGATATAAACAGATAACCTCAATCAAATAACTCGCACTTTATGATTTTGCCAAGTACGATGTGATCCCGGATAAACATCTGTGTTGATCCTGGAACATTAATTTTGTTTGAAAATGTAATCCATACCCATTCCCTACCTCTCAACCATAACTGTAAATTGAGAGGGGAATAATGAATAACAATCATGTAGAAGTGCAAAAACCTAACCGTAAGCCTAAACTTAACACAAATGGTAAACATGTCCCTAAACTCTGATTGGCTGGTTCGAATGTTGTTCCAGAATCAACATAGATGTCACCAGGTAGGAGCATGTCCTGGTAAAATCAGGTTGACGGAAATAACTCAGCTTTTACACCACAGACTAGCATCACTGTTACCAATAATTCATTAAGAAACAGGACATGAGATACAGATCATGACACATGATTGCATATTGGTCTAATAGCTGCATGAGTTGCAATACTCAACTACTTTAATAGGACTGAAGGAGTGTTCTGATGAAAATTGTTAAAAACTGGATTGTTGAGGCAATCATTGGTTTTAACACGCTGACCATGTATACTTGAGCTACTCAGAAAACACAGTGTGGCTTCAGATTACTTATTCTACAGAAAGACAGGATGTGGTTCTATCTTTCTTTCTCGGTCTCCATCCACCCCCTCTTCCTCTAACCTAGTTTAGCTAAATTGCTTTGAAGCTGTAACCCTGTTGTGCTGCGAGCAGCTCTGATGGTTCAGTGTTCATACCTTCTTGGGGTCCATGTTGAACTTCTTTTTTCCACATTGGATTCTCTTGTTCTTCATAACATTTTTACTAGAGGGGAATTGGAATATGCACATTATTGAATAGGAACATTATTGACCAAAATGAAACATTCTCTGTTGAACAAAATATTGAAATTAAAAATGTTCATTGCTGAAAACACTCCTGAGAAGCGAATGCATAAAACCCATCTCATCTTTTTTCTGAGGCTAATACATCACACTAAATAATATCAGCTATGTCATGTTTACAGCCAAGCCTCTTCTCGTAAATTCGATACCAAGAAGCAGGAAACATTTGCCTACGCTCATTGATTGTGTTTCGTGATGTGTCAAAAAAAAAACTGAGTGTGCAAATGTTAACTCTGCATTCTTGGTAGAAGTTACATGTAAGATCTAAATTAATACAAGGAAGATAGAAGGAAGGATGTTACAAGGAAGATAATGTGGCTTCTAATGCACAATACAAAGTGCATTGTGCACACGTTTTGTATATTGGTTTATCTTTTCACTCTAAAAAGATTTAAACCATCTATTCCTGATTAGTGATAATGCACACAACAAGGCTTGAGCCAGGACTGACTGATAATAAAGCATAACATACTTGTTTCTTGATGTTTACAGCATATGCTAATATTTGTGTTCTGTTTTTGGGAGACATATTTTCATGCACATGGATTAAAACAATGGAAAAGCTACGTTAGAGCCAGGGTTGTCAGACGGATGACAATGAAACCCTAAAAAGGTATAAATAGCATAGTAAATGTAAAGAACAAGTAACAAGTAGGTACTGGATCTTCCAGTTGTTTGGTTCTATTCTGTTGTGAATGCTAAATGTGAGAGCTGTCAATCCAATCTAAACACACTTCTGCCAAAAACCTGTCTATGATTGGTCTTTACTTATTGTCCCCAGGGATAATGAGGGATTTATGCATATTATGAGATCCAGCTTCTATTGGGTGAACTTCAAACATTTTCAACTAACATTGTAAAACTGCCTCAATATGCAGCAGAGCAGCATAAAATGGCACCTGGAGTATTTTAACAAGATCTTCAACTCATTTTATGTTATGCTTTAACCAAATTAAGAGTGCCTGCTAAAAATATAAATACACTCTTGAAGTCAGAATTATCAGCCCCCTCAATTATTAGCCCCCCTGTTCATTTGTTCCCCAATTTCAGTTTATGGAGAGAATATTTTTTTTAACAAATTTCTAAACATACTAGTTTTAATAACTCATCTCTAGTAACTGATTTATTTTATCTTTGCCATGATGACAGTAAATTATATATTTTTAGATATTTTTCAAGACATTTCTATACAGCTTAAAGTGCCATTTAAAGGCTTAACTAGGTTAATTACGTTTACTAGGCAGGATAGGGTAATTAGGCTATTCATTGTATAACGATGGTTTGTTCTGTAGACTATCAAAACAAATATAGCTTAAAGGGGCTAATAATGTTGACCTTAATTTTTTTTTTTTATTTTGTTTTTATAAAAAACTGCTTTTATTCTAGCCAAAATAAAACAAATAAGACTTTCTCCAGAAGAAAAAATATTATCAGACATACTGTGATAATGTCCTTGCTCTCTTAAACATCATTTGGTAAATATTTAAAAAAGAAAATCAAAATCAAAGGTGGCTAATAATTCTGAATTCAACTGTATGTGCTCTAATATGGTTTAATAATGTGTTATGAAGCTATACATTTAAAAAATATCCATCAATTAACAGATTGCTGAAACTCAACTGAAATGTATTCATGATGGTTTTTAGTTTATGCATTAACATTCCAATATGGGAGTTTGATTTCTGCTTAGAGAACTTTTGATTTCGGAAAGTTTACCAAAGGTACTTTTACTAATATTTTCAGTAGTTTGAAACAATATTTTGTATCTTTTTGTACATTGCTAGACAAAACACTGGTAATGATCTGCCAGTCATTGTTTATGGATCTTAATCTAAGTACAAAATTTTATGAATTATGGATATTTTACCTATATAAATTTTGCATTTCTTATACAGATCCAATTAAAAAAATTAAAAGCAAGTTTGTAAAATGTCATCATTAAAAATGGTCACAGCAGAAATCAAATTCCCATTATCCTGTTCAAAAATGGGAAGAAATGGAAAAACACCTATAAATCATGAGATATGAGCAACTGTTCACAAAAATTCATTAAAAGTGTATATACCAACATGCATTTCAAACTCCACATGTACATCGGAGGACAAAATTATTAGCCTTTCTGTGAAACCTTTTTTTTTTAAAAACATTTCCCAAGTGACTTTTAACAACATGAACATTTTTCAAAGTAATTCCTATAACTTGTTTTTCTTCTGGAGAGATTGTACTCATTTTTGTTTGCCGATTATCTTAAGTATTGTTTGGTCTTGAACTCAAGCAGTTTTGCTTGTATCTTGTTGGTTGCATTATTATTTTTGTTTAGTCATATACTTTGACTGATATTTTTTATCCTTTTAGCTGACTGTGCCATTTTTAGCTGTCGAAGTGTGCATGGCTATTTTTATCTAATGTATTGTATCTTGAGGTACATTAGAGTGTTCGCGATCCTATTTGACCAGGGTTCGCTCACTGTAAAATTTCACACCGCTGATTCAGACTACTGTAAGGAAACTAACTAACCTTAAGCTAAATAAAAAAAACATACTATGAACACAAGTGATTTTATGAGCATCATGAAAGTGGATATGAAAATGACCATAATGATTAAACTCTGTCAAGAAAAACAGTACATTGTGAAATGAAACTACACAGTGAAATTAAATATTACGTATAGTAAATGTTGGCTTTATTGATTTTTTTTTTCTTCTCTCTCTTCTAGTTGCTAGGAAACTAAGCTGAGTGATAACGGTGAATACTCACTTCTCATCATCGGCCTCCATTGTTTGAATTTCTGTCATCATGTTTTCGATCTCCATCCTGAGTTGCTGCAAGAGTGAACACATTGATTAGCCAAAGCTGTGTCTGTGTATGATGATATGTAGCTCACAGATCATTCATTTTAGACACAAAAGTATATTTGCATTAAAGTAATCCATAAAGTCATATACCTTGATATCGTCAAGAATAACATGCTTGTGGACCTCAGTCTGCTTCTTGTCATTTGCATTGAAGGATGAAGGTGCTGAATGCAACATGGCAGCATGAAAAAGTCAATAGTTAGCAACAGTTTTTATGTCAGATTCCTGATCACACACTCGTGCAGTAGAGAAATTACACTGAGAGAAAAACCAAAAGTGCAAACAAAGCCTAAATTTCACAGCTAAATATATCTCTGCTGCTTCTGCTTTAGAGAACTGGTCCACATAGGATGTATTTTGGTCTGTCAGTGGTTGCATTTACACAGCAGGTTTTCGAAGATGATTTCACAGATAATATTTTTGATAAAACATTTACATCATTTACATTCCCTCTCGTGTGTGGATTTAAACCTTTATGTCTTTCATCCGATAAGAGAGATTTGGAAGAATATATTTGGAAGAATGCTGGTTGCTAAGACTCATTGATTTCTATGCACTGTAAAAACAAATGCTGGGTTCCACTCAATTCCTTCATGTTGTCTCAGCACAAACAAAACAAAAAAGTTAATGTAATAATTTTTACAAAATTAAGTGTATTCAACATAAAACAATCGAGTTGTCTTAAAAACAACTAACACATTTTGTTGTTTCTGCTCATTTTAAATAAGCAGTTTGAACAAACAGCAAAATTCCTTTTTTGAGTAGTGGAAAAATTACAATGGAAGTCAATGGGTGCCAGAAACCAGCATATTTCTAAACATCTTCTTTTCTGTTCAACAAAAGAAAAAAAAGAAAATAAAATCGGTTTTGAACAAATAACAAGCATTTGGAACATTTTTTGGGTTTCTCAATGATAGAAAAAATAAAAATATAGTGAGTGGTAGCTTGCTGATGCCAGTGGTCAGGAGAGAATGACCAGGCTGGTTCAAGCTGACAGAAAGTCAAACTAACAGATGTCCAGAAGAGCATTTTTGTATATCAAGCCTCGAAGTAAATGATATACAACAGCAAAAGATCACAACGGTGTTGCTGATTGCTTCATTTATGATCAATCACACAATGGCTATACTTCCAGAAAAATAAAACAGAATTTAACAAAGCTCAAATCATCTCAAACGGTTTTCTGTACTCAAAATTCAACACTAATTGATGTTTCATTAATATCCCTCACACATATTGTGTATTCCTTTACAAAATGCCAAAAGAGTGATGTCACAAATGGCAGGTGCATAAGGAAATGACAGAACTTACACTGCAGTCACAGAGAAATGATTAAGGGCAAACATACCTTTCCCCCAGAGGAAGCTGTCCTTTCTTTGGGTTCCCATGGTGGCGGTGCTGCAGGGGGACTGCAAACAAGAAGATTAGACTTCAACATCTTTGCACAGACACAGATCATTGCATACAAAGAGACGATGCCTTCCTGTATTAAAATGACTAACATAACATGACAATTTCTAAAACTAGGTCAGTTTTTTTTACAATACAAAATAAATGCTATTGTTAATATTATATACTCAATGTCAAAATAATTATCGCAGTAACGTATTGACTAACTCTCAAAATAGCGTTCAACATAATAAACTCCCAGGTCCTAGCCTACATACAACAACAAACTACAAAACGTATTTATTACACTGTCAAAGTAAAATACAAGGTAACAAACCGAAACGAGGCAATACACATATTTGTCATTGCTAAAGAAAGCGGTGAAAACATACCTTCATGTGTGTAATGCAGTGAGGAGGTTCTCTGTTTCGTACAGTACGGACAGATGCGTGAAGTGCGCTTTAATTGATGATCAAGCGCTGAGTTCTTGAGCGAGGAGCGTGACGTCACTGCCGCGAATGACAGCGGAGCTCTGAGAACTTGTTTCCTCAATAGTTCTCAAAGGGCTACTTCTTTATTCACAAATGTGGCAAAGATGAGTAACCCAACAGCATAGGTTTAAGTTATTTTTGCGATTTCCTAAAGTAAAATCTAACGTCATGCTCTTACTCAACATTTTTTTGAAACTACTTTTTGATTGCCACAGCAGCAAGAAAGAAATCCACAGCTACTTTTTTTAAAGCTGTAGCTATTTTGTGCAGTAGAACATAATATATTTTTACTGTAACTAATCTATTTTAGAATTCAATTCTTCTAAATAATTTATTAATATACACATAAAGCAAGTTATTTTTCAATATCACATTTTTATATTAAGTATTTGAAATTCATATTTTAATTACTTTTTAAATTTATAAGTTATTTTCGATTTTTACAAAACTGTTTACAGATTATTTAGCATATCTGTAGATAGCTACTTCAGAAAATTAGAAAATATTATTTAGATATGTTATAATGCATTTATTTTGTTATTATTATTTATTCATTTATTAGTTTGTTTGATCACTTATATTATATTATATTTGTTCACTTATATCTCATATTATATTATATTATATTATATTATATTATATTATATTATATTATATTATATTATATTATATTATATTATATTATATTATATTATATTCCCGTGGGCCAGCCTGAACACTTGCCTGTGACCTACTCACACCTGCAGTTTCTCCACAATGGACGTCCAGCATTCTCCGGCCTCCAGTATGGTGCCAGATCAGTCTCAAAAGTAATTCATTTATAAAACAAAATTTATACACCCACAACACAATTCACATTTACAAAATCCAATTCGTGCTTTCAAAACACAATTCGTAAATACACAAATCCAATTCGTAAGTTCAAAACACAATTCAAAAATACACAAATCCCATTCGTAGGTTCGAAAAACAAATCGTAAATACAAAAATCCAATTCAATTGGTCAAAATATTTAGGTTTTTTTACTTGTGAACTCACAAATTGTGTGTTGTATTCATGAATTGTGTTTTGAATTTACAAATGAGATTTTGTAAATTGTGCTGTATTGTGCTGTACATGTATGAATTTTATTTAATAAAAGTATTATTTTTGAGAGAATGCCTAGACTGCAGCTCAGCACAAAAAGTTTGGCCAGAGGATAAATGGACGTGCCAAGCTGATCCTGGTTTCTCTCAAGGTTTCTTTCCTTCACTTTCGTCAATTGGTGAAGTTTTTTCCTTTACACTGTCGCCACTGGCTTGCTTGGTTTGAGACTTGTGGAGCTGCGCATCGTTGGATTTGCTCTTCAGTGTTTGGACTTTCAGCAGTGAAAATGTAACCACACTGAACTGAACTAAACTAAATTTCAACTCTGAAAACTGGACTGACACATTTTAGTTTACTAGAACTTCTATGTTAAACTGCTTTGGAACAATCTACATCATAGATCTCAAACTCGATTGCTGGAGGGCAGCAGCTCTGCACAGTTTTGCTCCAACCCTAATCAAACACAGCTTAACTAATCAAGGTTGAGACTAGGTGTGAGGTTATACTAGAGACTAGGTGTGAGGTTAAGGTGATTGGAGCTAATTTGTGCAAGCCCTCCAGGATTTGAGTTTGAGACCATTGATCTACATTGTAAAAGCTCTATAGAAATAACAATAAATTATATTATATTATATTATATTATATTATATTATATTATATTATATTATATTATATTATATTATATTATATTATATTATATTATAGGCTACTATTTGTGTTTTGGCAGCAATTTTATATTATGAAAACCAGCAGCATAAAAGTAGAATAACAGAAAATGTTGTCAGTTACCATTCAGTTGCAGAAACTTTAGAGATAAACATAACCTAGTGCACTTTAACAAGCTTTAAATGATTCGAGGTCGCCCTCTTGTGGACTGTCACCCATAACGCTTTGACACAGAGCGCGTGCATGTTACTGCCTTTAAGTTAATACTTCCTCATATACACAGACACGTCCAAAACTGTCACAACCACATGAGTGAGTGAGTGAGTGAGAGAGAGGGAAAGAGAGAGACTGAACCAATCTGTTTCCTGTATTACAACTTAGTTCCTTAACAGTTGTTTTACAGCGGTAGCCGGCAGATTTTTTAAAGTATCGAAAATGCAAGCAATAAAGTGTGTGGTGGTCGGAGATGGGTGAGTGAAAAGTTACCTTTTACATGGTTTTATTAGCGAAATCTAATCTGTGTGTTTTATCGTTTACCTTTAAAAGTCGTTTTTAAACATTGTATTGTGCTATGTTTATTTGTTTATTTAGCTTAATTAGTTTAAAACTGTACTGATTTGCATTGTGATGAGCATTAGTACAGTTTTCAGTGACATTGCAGTTGCCTTACAAATCACCTACTTTATCTTTGTTTCTTTGATTTCCTCATTTGTCACGTGAGATACTTACTTGCTTAGTATTTTTATAGCCTCAGGCTTAGGTTAGTTGCTGAATCTTTATCGTCATGCCTAAATACACTTTAGAAATCTCAGATTTCTGCCTTACTTTTTGGCCAAGTAAGAATATGATATAATCTACCTACTGTACAGGTTAGCTTAGTTTATTTTTAACTACATTTTTTCGCTGAAAGATAAGCTCTAAGATGTTCAATGTATGAGCTAACAAACAGAGAACTATTTAGAGGCCGGTTGGGCATTCATGGGCAAGTTAATACACAGAAGGAAGAACACCTTCTGTCTTGTGCCATTCCTCTGAGAGCGTGCAGGAAGTTATGCCACACACAATGCATGGTAATAATGCTAACTGATTGAAATCAAACAGCAGTTGCATATAGGTCACTTTCTAATGCTGTTATTTATTAGTATTCTGGCAAAATCATGATGAAAATGGCACAAAACCACATACTTCATGAAGGTGTGTCAGGAATATTTCTGTTTTAAGGAAAGAAAACAAAAATGTGCAGTTTTAGGACCACTTAGTTTTTATAAATCTGGAATTGGGCAAATATGTGCACATCTGTGCTCCTTTCAGTTTTTAATTCTTTTAAATAATATGAATAATGTTAATTTTGCATCATAGGAGTTAAAATAAACCCACCAATCAAACAATATTGTGTTTAATAGACGTCTAATAGACATATGAACGTAGACAGCTTGACTAAAACAAGGCTAAACTTGGGCTAAACTATAGACTGTCACTGTCAGCCCAAATTTAGCTTTATTTTAGCCAAGACGACTATGTTTAAACGCCTATTAGACTTCTTTTAAAAACAAAAAATGCTTGCTGGGTATTTACCTGATGTCAGTAAAGCCATATTTGATCCTTGAACTGATGTGCTTGTTGTGGTAAAGTAGGCTAGAACGTTAGACTACCTTAGACAACTGTCCTCTTCATCACGGTCTAAACATTTGGGCTGTTACTAGTGAACCAGGACTTTTTTTCTGTGCATCATAGCGGTGCAAGGAATACAAGAAGTGTCTGTTCTTTCGTTATGTAAGTGCGGCTATAGAGTCTAGTCATGCTGTCAAATAGGTATTTTAGTCTGCCTTCAAGATGACTAATTATGGCAGACGAGGACATTCTACTTCATTTATTTAGGCCCAAAAATGTCAAGAATGTAGTTTGCTTTTTGAGGAAGTACACAAACACAATAGGTGTTTTTAGGTCATGTGCTGACACACAAACAGTGATGATTCAAGATGGAGGATGGATGAGGCTGCTCTGATTTTAAACTCTGAACTGCTTTTTGAAAGAGGGAGGGGGATTTCCTCATAAACGTATTGTATATGAGGGATTGATTATCCCATACGCTTTATATTGAAAAATATGAGTTTAGTGGGACAGAACTGGAGGGAATGAAATCAGCATGTACTAACAATCTTCAAGCAGAGCAATTGATAATGCAACTGTAGGGATGTCATGTTGAAATGCATAAATGACATGTATAAAACACAGTTCATGCATTGCTTTGTGGTCACGTTTAGTAGAACATCTACTACAGTAGCATTGCAAATGGCAGCGGAGGAGAGGTGCATTTGCTTTGAGGATATCCTGTTTGAGCCCTGCTCATGCTTCTCCATTTTGAAGCTCTTAACTTCCCCTTGCATCTGATGCTGTGACCCAGCTGCTGAAGTTCCTCATATTGCATTGCTCAAAGTTGAACTGGGAGGATAATTCCTCCTTGTACACCATAATAGAACAAATTGGGTGATTTTGAAGAAGTTTTTCAAAAGTCGTTGACACTCACTGGCTAAGGTTTTTTTATTAACAGCATAGTTGACAGCAAAAATGTAATTATTGTTTACATTCACCCCTGACTTGGTTCAAACCTGTGTGAGTTTCATTCTTCTGTTAAACATAAATGATATTTTGAAAAATATTGGTTACCGATAGCCATTGACTTCTATTGTAGACAAAGAAAATGCTATTGATGTCAATGGCTACGCTTCCAACTTTCTTCAAAGTATTGTCTGTTGTGTTGTGTTCAGCCGAAGAAAAAAAAATCACAAGGTTTTGGAACTACTTAAAGGTGAGTAAATGAAGAGTAAACTTTCATTTTAGCATAAATGCTATCCCTTAAGGTTAGTAACAAATTACAAATACTCAAATTATTTTAATTGTAATTTACTAAATGTGTACTTTTATTCCCCCATTGAGTACATTGTTAGTGCAGTATTGGCAATTTTACTCCACTATTTTCCTTCAAACTGCAGTCACTACTTGATTTTTTCCTGTCTTTGGGGATTGGCTGAGTAGAAAATCAGTGCTGTGATTCCTGTCCAATGACATTGAGCATAGAGAGGAAATCACATCATACTGAACAACCTCAAGACATGGGCACTTTATAAATGCAGCAAACCGCTTGAAAGCATTAAAAGTGTCCACAAAATCTGCACAAAAAACTGTTGTGTCACTTATGAAAAGATGGTGGATGTTTACTGCACTGAAATCAGCAAATAATCTTA